TTCGTGATCCTTAACTCGACGAACATTTGGCGGCAAATCTGTTGGGATTTATATGCCCTGGCATAGCAAATTCCTATCTGGATTATAGTGACATATGTTCCTGACATATCTGAAATATTTATGATTTATATAATTGGTGAATTCAATGTATCATGTTTCGATTCACTATGAGATTGATAGTGTCCATGTAATTACAAGAAATATTTATATATATGTATGTGATGGCAATCAATGCATGATATATAAATAGTAATTATAAATTGTTCATAGTCAGTAATTATGGATGGACTCATAATTAATTAAGACTTGAACTGGATCCGCGTTAGGTTGAGATATATTGCGAGAGCCGTCGTATGCAATTACTCCCTATCACCGTCATGGCATTTGACTCTTAAGCATGAGAAAAGTATAGACTCTTTTATTAATTAATAATTACTTTGATTTGTTCGGCGGATTCTTCGGGATCCTTAGACCGACACTTTGGGTAATTATGTAACTAATAGTTAGAGGGTTATATTTTCAATATTTGCATCATTGCTACTTGTGTTTCTTTTGTATTGATTATGGTTGATCACAAAGTAAATTCGAAGGCCTTCGTCTGTTTTTAGACAAAATGATTTATTATATATATATTTATTTAAATTATTATTTTTGTCAAACAAATGTTTTATTGTGATCGAGTCAGAAATAATCAGAGGTACCAAATTAGATATATTAATTAAGTAGTCGGATTGATGGCTTTATTTATCCGATAACTAATTATGCATAGAGGGGTCAAAGTGCAATATTGACTTAGAGGTTATTTATTATTTAATTGGAGTTCAATTAATTTCTTTTAGTGGAGTAGAAATTAATTTATGAATTAATTGAATTGGGTCCATGGACCGGGCCAATTATTAATTCATTGTAGCCAATAAAATAATAGGCCTAATGGATTCTCATTCATAGCCCAACTTGATATTGGAATCATATTAGATTTGAGACATATGAATTAGAGATGGAGAAGGATTTGTTGTTTCCTTTTCTTTATTTTTATGTTGCCTATAACTATACATGGTCTATGTATATTTTAGGGGGTGATTTTTAATGAGAATGAAAAAGGAATTTATTTTCTCTATCTAAAAAATTAGGGTTTATGTTCTCATCTAATGGAGGCTCCCACAAGCTTAGTTTTCCAAGGTTATTCATGGAGGCTTATGAGTGATTCCTAAAGGCAAAACAATTACCAAGAAGATGGATATCCAAGAAGAAGGCATCTTGCTAAGGGATCTACAATAAGTGAGAACATTCACTTTAGAGGAAAGTTTTAAAGGTTTACTCAGACCTTTGATGTAAGTATTCAATCTGTTAATTGAATGATACATCATATTTTATTTTTTGCATAAAAGTTGTCTCTATGTGATGAATCAAGATCTATGAATTAAAATCCCTCAAAAAGTTTTTAAAACTAGCACGTTTCCCAACAAAATCGTCCATCCTCCTTTCATCACGGTGGAGAGCTGACTGATTGTTCTCGTCCTGCTCGTCTTGATGTGCGATATTAGATTGAATACCTCCTTCACCAGCCGGAAGTGGACGCGGAACCGCCGGCATTTGCTGATGCTGCATTCCAGCTTTCAATTCTTCATTCTCTCTTTTAAGAGCTTCGATCAAGTTCATCAACTCCACAAGCTTCGTTTGCTGGACAGCCTCCATCGGATTGGAGCTTTCACCTATCATTATTCCTGAACGGAGTAAAGGCATTAATCTCAAGTTCTTGAGTAGATCTGAGCTTCGTGAGGGCGAATTTCTCAGATCTGGACTCGAATTCTCCGAGTTATGCTTACGGTTGACGAGATCTAAATTCTCTGAATTCTAAATCCATCAGATCCGGCCGCAATCGAACAACTCGTTGTTGCGTAGATCTGAAGCCACTTCCGTCAAAGCAACAGAACTAAAATTCCTCCAGAATAGGTCACAATCTCTCAGATCTGGATCCAACTTCCAAAGATCGAGTTTCGTTTTCACGAATTAGTCTGAATCTACGCGATATTGATCAATGATCAATCAATCTTCAACGATTCTCACAGACGGCGCCAATTGAAGATGTAAGGAATTCATTTCCATTTTCTCTCTCTAGAATTCTTACACTTCAACAGAATGAATCTCTCTCCCCATTACTTCTCATATTTATAGGTATTTACAAACATTAATGGGTTGCCAGATCTGGGCCCGTTCCTCTGTGGGCTTTGGTCATCTTCGATGGGTTATTCGCGTTCGGCCCATATGGCAGTATTTCTTTATGGGCTGGACCCAGCTGCTCGGACCGAATGTCATGTTCGCAGGTCATATCCGGCCCATATCACTTCTGGCCTCCTCAATATGTCTTCACTGTATAGACAGTCTCTATTTTTTTGAATTAAAGAAGTGGTCAAAAATCCATTTCAAGACATACCATTAGAAAAGTGCGTACGTAGTATTGTAATAATAAAAATACTCCTTAATGGGTTTGTTAGGTCTTCAAAGCTAAAAACACTCGTCACCGCCACCGACGCAATAAGAGAGTGGTAAACAAAAAAAAAAAAATGAAAAAAGAAAAAGAAGAAGCTAGTGATGTATTTTTAGGGCCAGAATTCTACAATGGTGAATGTCAGGTCTCAATTTTAACTTTAAGTGCCGCACTCGGGGCAACGCTTTCAGGCGCAGACGTTGTTAAAGACCACGTGTATAACTTATCGGGCTCAGAGTCTTTTACTATTGGTTTTGATTGAAAGAGTTGAATGAAGAGCTAAAGAGAGCGCTAAGGACACAGCAAACGCGAGTTATTGGTCTGCTTGATTTGTAATTATGAAAATAATTTTTTATTTTGAAAAAATTATATAAAAAACTCTTTTTGATTCGATTTTTTAAAAATTATTTTATAAAAATTCAGTTATAAAAATGCATATTTTCAGATAAGCATAAAAAATTATTCTCTAAAAATAATTTTTTATTTTTTAAGTTATTGAAAATAATTTTTAGAGTTACAAACTAAATATATTTTTATCTTTGTTTAATATATATATTCAACAAGTGTCATTGTGAACATTATACTTTCACCTTCACAATGACCTAGTGATGGTAATATATTTAAGAGCGAGGGTAATATTATTACATCCAAATGGAACGCATGTAACATTATTACAACAAGATGCAACACAAGCAAGATCATTACCTTTAGATTAATTTGGAGTGTCAGGACTTCGCCTTGACTAATTTTTAAGAACCCATGAAGGGCGCATTCTCAGAAACGACTGAGTAAGTCACAGAGTATTGACCGTGGAGGCATGGCTCCAAGAAAATTGTTTGCATTCGGTGAGAGACGAACCTTAAACTTAATGCTTCATTGAGCAACAGGATCAAGTGACCTTACCACTTGAACCAATCTCTTTGAATTGACAAGATAGGCATGCAACACCATTTAATTAAGAATACAATGTTGAATGTATTGGATCATTGATACAATGAGTATTGTGTCTTTGATATAATTAGTATTCTTTTTAAAAATAAGATATTGCATGTGTATCAAAATAATGCAACCCTGATGCATTATAAATTAACGAGACCCTCTTATATATAAGAGAGGATTCTTTTGTTATGTGTGTGTTGTGTCGTGTTGTGTAGTGGAAGAGGATGTGGAGGTTTATATTAAAAATAACCTAGATGGGTGATGAATGGGTTTTACTTGTTACCTTATTTAATTTTTTCTTATTTTAATTTTATTGAAATCAAACTCACAAAGCAAAAATAAAGTACAAGTAAAGCAAATAAAGTTTTAGATCGAGATGACACCAGGAATATTTTTAGTGAGGAAATCCCGATTAGTGGAAATCAACCAATCGCTATGGGAAAATCCTCATGGACTATGTCGTCCAGAGCAAAATGATCCACTATATTTGAAACAAAATATACAGATTCAGGCTAACACCATATCGTTCTACCAAAAACCAATCGCTGACAATCCCTGACTTTACGACTCCCCCGTTCAACAGCTCTCGACCTTAGGCTTACTCTTGGTCTCTGTAGAAGGATTGCCGGTAGATCAAATAATAATAATAATTATTTAAAAAGTCTTTGCAAAATAGGAAGTCAAAACATGCAAACAAGGAAAAAAAAGTTACCAAAATCTACTGAAAACCTTGAACCAATTCAGCCACCTTAAACCAGTTCAAGTTGGCTAGTAGCAAATTATTGCAAACCAACTTTGACACTTGATCTTGTTCTAAGAAACTTGAATCAGTTCAAGTTGGACAGAATGTAAACTTTTTAAAAACTCAATATTAAACCTTTAAGTGTCCTCGCACATCCTCTTACCTTCCTAAAGCGTTGTTCTCATCGTCCCAGAGTGTATTAAAGTATGAATACGATCACTTCTTCAATGCCGCTTCCGATTTTAATTCTTAACAAATCGAACTGAAAATTTACAACTCATTTTGACAATGCGAAATTTGCCAATTACAAATTTATATCCCACAAAATATATATATTTGCTCCCAAGTTAGATATATGAAGTGAAAAAGAAGGGAAGCATTCTTTCTACCAGACTCAAGGAGCTAAGACATAGCATTTGACGGAGATTTACTCCATGATCACCGGACTGCAAATGTTGATCTATTACGGTCATACACATCTGTTTGTTGGGATTTCGCATGGGCTTTTAATGTTTCAATTCCTATTCCCATTGTGCCTCCGTGTTTATTGTAGTTAGCATTGGGCTAACTCCTTATGGGCTGTACTCTGATCTCCTTTATTCAATTGAAATTTAATTTAAAAAAAAAAAAAACTTTAAACCATGATGATCGTGAGAAATGTAGAAAGTATCTAATCAACTTTAAAGAATAGTATCAAAATACCATAAAAATGATCTAACATTTCAAAACCAAAGTCAAAACATGCATAGTATGCTTCTCACAATACTACTGATTTTGTTAATTAATGATGTGAAATCCATCTATTATCAACAAGTGTATATTGAGGAACAGTAGGTAGAAACATCAAAGCCCTTTGCTTTTTATTATCAACATCACTTGTAAGAGCTAGAATCATCATCCTCAACCTTTTCAACACTTCTATACTTGTACAACCTTGCACATACTAAATAATAACCGAAGTTTAATACCCCAACCACAGCCAACATCCAATACATATTATCTAGTCTCCCATTATTTATATTATCAGGTAACCAACCAGTTACTTTCCGAAACAAATCAATCACGGCCGTGCTTAAATAGAAACCTATTCCTATAATCATCGCGATCATCGCAGTTGCCATGCTTCTTAATGACGCTGGAAATTCCTGATAGTATAATGCAACTTGTCCCGGAAAATGAAGTGCTTCGCCAATGCCAACAATAACCAGTTGTGGAAGGAGCCACAAGGCCAGCATTGGCACAGTATAACCAGGCTGGTCCTGGACTTGGTTCGCTCGGACTATATCAAGCCGCTTGGACTCTACTAGGGCTGACACAGCCATGGTAAGTACATTTAACACGTGGCCGAGCCCAAGACGTTGGAGTGGCGTCGGAGATTGACGAGTTAGCTTTTGCCACGTAGGGCATAGGAATCGGTCGATGAGGGCGAGAGAGATGGAGGTGGAGATGAATGCAGTGACTAGGATGGACCCAGCTGGGATTTTGAAATGAGGCCCAATGTGACGGTCCATGCTTAGAGTTTGGAGGACCACTAAGCTAGATTGGATCCCTATTGTGGTGCTTAATAAAATACCAGTGGACCACAGTGGGAAAATTCTGATTATAGTCTTTAGATCTTCTACTTGTTGGACAGTGCATAGCCTCCATGATCTTGTGATTTTGCCATCTAATTGTATGTCCTTTTCTGTTTTCAGTGCTGCGCGATTTATGAACCTGCAAGAAAGACACTTTCAAATTATGAGATCTTTGCCATGATTAATTTTGTAGCAAACATCACTAATGTGACACAATAGAATTACAAGTGTTCATTTTAAAGTTTAAAAAATAAAAATAAAAATGATACAGCTAGAAGAATAGTACTATTTTGACTTCTAGAAGAAGTAAGTGTGTTTTTTAGGATGTCTATGAAAACATCATGAGTAATACTGCTTTTTATGAACCACTTCCTGATAGTCTACTTTTGAGTAATTATTGCCAATTGGATCTTAATTATCTTCTCTTGAAAAAACCTACATGTAACATTCATACATGTATCCTTACTTGAAGCTTTTAGTTGGTTCCGTTAGCATCATGCTGGTCACCCCATCATGCTCATTGTAATAATCCTCACTTCTGGAAGAAAGCAAGACCTTCCTCTTTCTAATGGCGGCAACAAAAACCTGAGCTAAATCCAAGAAAGGGCTCCCTTGTGGCTTAACGTGACGATAATAGCGGCTTCCCAGGAGGAAAATGACTAAGCCAATTACATTAGCCGCCACACACAGGCCAAACCCCATTGCCCAACTCACATTGTCCTCAACGTAGACAATAGCTGTTGCACTTACAACTGAAGAGGTGTACATGGTGAAGAAGAACCAATTAAAGAAGATCCCATGATGCTTGGGATCATCAAATTGGTTGGCTCCCATCGTTGCTATAGTGAAGCGTGTGCCCCCGACACCAATTGATATGAGTGTTATACCTGCATATAGGACTCCGAATTGGATTTTCGATGGAATTTTGCACAAGATTGATCCATTTCCACATGGTGAAGGTCTCAAGGAATCGACTGTGGCGGTTAGGAGGAATAGGACCATGCCCTGCGAGTGTAGAATATATTTCATGATATTTATCATGAAAAACGTTAAATATCACGAAAAACATGGTAACACCCTTTAATATACAGTATACTTGAATACCATCATCGGTACTAAGTGCTTGTGTTACCTGCTTCTTGTACTGGCCGGTAAATTTTTCTTTGTAATTTGTCCCCAAAAAAGTAAAAAATAAAAAACATTTTCTTTGTAACAAAGTGAATTACTCCTATATATTATCTTCTCTCATATATATATGTATGTATAGTCTATAGACATCATATTGGACTACGCAATTAATTTTCAGATGAAGAACTCGAAGATGTAATTTGTCCGCAAAAAAATAAAAATATTTTCTTTGTAACAAAGTGAATTACTCCTATATATTATATATGTAAATAATCTGGGACTACGCAATTAATTTTCAGATGAAGAAGTCGAATATATTCTTAGCGGTAGTGATGATATCAGTTCATATTTCTTAAAGCTGCTTCAAAACACTGCATTAAAGTTACAAATAATTAAGTCAACACAATCAAGTGGACAAAGCTATCTTTCTTTTTTTACGTAGTTCATAAAAATTGAATATTATAGTTAAATAAGCAATATATATATATGATGAAGAGTATCATGAAGAAAGTGATCGAAACTGATATATAATATTGTCACCACTTACCAGCAAAGAGATGAATGAAGAAATGGAGATGACAGAGTAACAGCCTAGAAAAGAGTCGGCAATAATGGCGCCGATGACCGGAAATAGACTACTGCAACCGTTAACCACGTTACCAATTTGAGCAGCATCAATGCTCTTCACGTTGAATTTCCCAATAAGATAAACAATAAGATTCGCCATCGCACCACCAACGGCTAGTGTCAAGCCTGCCATAGTTGCTGCAATATTGAACAAAAAGACCACGTAATAATATGTTGGTGCAACATATATATACACACATAGTTGAATATGAGATCAGAGAGAGACCTATGATGAAGGGGAAGGTGATCCAACCGCCTCGTTTGCTACCGGAATCTGACATCTGCACTTCCGAATCACCGGGCCTTGCGCCGTTCAATTTGCTATTCAAGTTATTCAACTGTTGTGACCGTGTAGCAGCCATTACTGCACAACCGGGTTAATTTGATGAGGAGCTAGGGTGATATATCCCTTTAATATATAAGGTGAAAATACTACCCCACCACTCCACCACTAATGGTGCACCTTCTCTCTTTGTCAAACCAAAGAATCACATGGATATTTAAACAACAGTGATTGTGCACCGAAACGAACAATGTGGCTCAAGCATTATAGAAATGGATTAGCTAAGGAAGAATCACTTTATGCATTTATTGTTATTATTATTATTATTATTATTATTATTTTTTTTTTTTTTTTTTTTTTTTTGGGGGGGGGGGGGGTGGGGGGGATAAGTAAGCTTTTATTAAAAGAAAGAAAAGTATTATACAAACCATACAAGAGGCATCCACAAGGAGTTCCGATGCTCTGCTGTAGTAGCCTTTACTTCAAGCAAATATCCATAATTCAAGATATATATATATATATACCATCAGTAAAGCTAGCTAGTGTTGTAATAATAATGATACCTCTTGCCATCCACCATCAAAAGAAATTATTCTTTCAACAAGGGTAAATATTTAGTGTGCTGGTGTACCGATCAACTAATTTGAATCGTGCATGCATAACACGTTGAAGTATGCATCGTATGAACGGTTCAGAATAATCCGATGCATCAAGCACGGAGTACACTGAATATTTATTCCCAGACTTAGTTGCAAGTTGCAACCAAACGATCAAAAAGAAACTCACTGCAAAGAGAGAGAGAGAGAGAGAGAGAGAGAGAGAGTATGTGTTATTTTTAGAACACGAATTCTACATAAAATAAAATCCATATAGGCAATTAATGATATTGCAAACACCTTTCAATTCATGTCAGGTGCATGCAGAAGTTTTTAAAGATCACTGCGCGCCTTTTAGTTTTGCTTTTGATTGAAAGAGTTGAGTGAATAAGTGCTTACACGATGTTTGCTTTAAAAACAAGGGAAAGAAAACTGAAGTTAAAGACACAAAAAGAAGTGGAGGTTAAAGTGAAATGAGAAGGATAAATATGGTACCAAACCCAAACAAAAAAGAAAGACAAATATCGTATAGGCGGTAAATTAATTTTTTTATTTTTGTGTCATGTAACAACTATATTGACAATGAAATGAGATAATTTAATGACAAATCTCTCATGCACATTTTGAAAGTTGTGAGTTCAAATCTCCTATAGACTATTTTTAAAAAAATTAAAAAATTAAAAAAAAACTACAATTACCTAGTGCAAGTGCTCCAAGAGGCCCGACACCTGATGCAACCCACACCTAAAAAAAATGAAAAATCATTGTCCCAGTTATATTCTATTAGACAAAGGTGCTATATTTACTCTGAAGTATTCAATAATTTCAGCCTCATTAAACAAGGTAATAGATTATCGGTTTGTGGACACTAAGATATTCAATAATTTCTTCGTGAAAGAAAATGATATATACAATTTTCAAATCAATAAAAGAAACTTAGGTAACAATTACCTTTTCTTTTTTTAATCACATATTTTATTATCCCTTCTGCTAATAGATCATAAAAAGATTTGATCACAATTGTTAATTAATAAGTATTAACAATTGGTTTGGTAAATGATTAAGACTGTGACCATCGTTCCACCACTAAATTATTGCCTGGTCCATCTGGGAGTCGAGCCAGTGACACTTCAAGCAGCAACACCAGTCTTACAAATGGGATGGAATAGTAAGTATATGGTAGGCGCTAATTGTCACCGTATGTGCAATTGGGATGGGAATATTATATGGTATATATAAATTAGTAGTTGGAGAGCTGACATCACATGGCGTTGCACACACATAAGCATTTGCCTAATTAGTGAAGCCAACTCGTCTTTGTTTTCATGTTTATATATATATAGAGAGAGAGAGAGAGAGAGAGAGTACAAAAGCTCGAGGAATCGCGGGTTATGTTGTAGTCCAGGAAACCAGGTGACGATACTGTGTTAAAAAATACAATTTGTGCGGCTTGTTAAAAATTCCAATTTTGATTACGTCTAAACGCAACACAAGTAACATTATTACAATAACAATACAAGTAAGATCATTACCTTGAGAGCAAGACATGCAACACCATTAAATTAAGAACACAATACTATTACATCAAAAATGTTACGCAACATTCTCAACATAATAGTTCTATTTTTCGATATTATGCTATTGCATGTATTGCATCATCAATGCAATGAGTCTTGTGTGTTGATGTAAAGACGATTTTATTTTAACATTTTGGATGTCATAATATTGCATAAATTGCGTCATTGATGAAATGAGTATGGTGTGCTGTTGATGCAACGAGAATTCCTTTTTAAAATAAGATATTGCATGTTTATCAAAATAATGTAACTTTGATGCACTAAAAAATAATAATAATGTAACGTTCTTTCACAAGAGAAGATTCTTTTGTTATATATATTCGCTCCCCAGTTGAATATATAAAGTGAAAAAGAAGGAACCCATTTTTCTGCAAACTTAAAAACCATGATGGTGGTGAGAACTGTAGGAACACAAGCAGCCCACTAATCAAAGTGATGGAGTAGCAGCCTTGACAGCAAAATGCACTACGGTACAACATCACTCCTAACATGGCCTCTGGAGAGCTTTGTCACAGTATAGGGCCTTGACAACATAATGTACTACAGCACAACGCCACTAGCTTGGTTGCAAATATAATCAGAGTGATTGGAGAGCTATGTCACAGTATAGGGCCTTGAAAACATAATGTACTACAGTACAATATAACGTCGCTAGCTTTATTGCAAATATAATCAAACGGATTTTTTAATCTTAAACATGACATCCAAATAAATTAAATCCTTTACACTTTAACCATATTAGTTTAGTAAAGTATTACTCCCTCCGTCCCACTTTAATTGTCGCCTTCAAGAACCGTGACTAACAACCTTTAGGAAATGTGAGTCACGGTTCCAGAAGGCGACAATTAAAGTGTGACAGGTGGAATATTTAAAAATTAGTATACTTTAAATCAAATCTGTTAATACTATCGAATGGTAATAGAAAAAATAAGTAAATTTTCTAAAATAAATGAAAGAAAGTTAATTAAATAATGTCCGTACGATTAGATCTTACGATTAAGATTAAAAGTGAGTATGTTATTCCATATTCACCGGAACAGTTGAACACCTATATATATATATATATATATATATATATATGGCCTTTGGAGAGCTTTGCCACAGTATAGGGCCTTGACAGCAAAATATACTATAGTACAACATGTTGACACCCATTTTGGCATTTGGGTTGTAGACCCATCTTCAGTCCAATCATGGGTCCATAAACCAAATGTCCTTGGCACCCATTTTGGTAATTGGGTTCTGGCCCTAATTGGATTTGATGGACAGTGAAGCAAGTAGTAGTATGGGCCGTGTAAAACCTGTAAAACAATGATGTGCTGGAGGACTGGGCCAAGAAGATAATGGGCTGAAGCATGTGACAATGAGATTGGGCTAGAAGATATTTTGGTAAGCAATTGATTTGGTCTTCGGCTGGGATAATACAATACAGTTAGAATGTTGGGCTTCACACATTGCATGGATTGTGGTTGGTTTGGATGACATGGCAAAAGATGGCAAAGCTACATACAAAGGCACTGCAGATAGGATAGAAGAAAATTGAATTGCAAATATATTATATAGGAGTTATATATTTATCTTATATTTAAATGGAGTTAAGAATTAGTATTTAGTTAGGATTAGTTAGATTTGAATAATTATTTAGATGTATTAGAATACAACTAGGATGCTTGTATTTAGGTTTTTGTTTACTATTTACTCTATAAATAAACAAAAGGGTACGCTGAGAAAGAGGTCCAGCACCCTCAGAATCTTTATTATTATTTGTTTGCTTTCTTAAGCTTTTCCAAGAATAACATCCTTGTTATTTCTTCTTTCTATATTTCTCGATCTCATGTTCTATCTATTTCTCTCTTTCCTTCTATCTCTCTCTTTCTCTCTCTTTTCTTGCTATATCTATTTTCTTCCTATTTCTATTCTCTTGATACGATACTATAATTTATTCACTATAAAGTCCTTTAACTAGGCAATTTTGAACCCAAAGAGGAATTTTTCTGTTCCCTTTTTCCTCGCAATAGCCTGAAAGTCAACTTGCTCAAAGGGACTAAAGTTGACAATTTATACTTGAACCACACAAGTGGTTCTGGCACGCCCACATTACATCAATTTAAGATCGGCTCTAACCAGTCGATTTTAGCGTCAACATTTTTGGCAAGCCCAATAGGACCCATCAAGTGAGCAAATTATAGTAAAGATGCCTCCAAAGCTAAGAAATTCGAAAGGTGTGACTACAGGTGACAATGCTGAAGAGGAGAACCAGTAACTCAGCGTTGGTGATGATGCCGACTCATCCATTCCATCTGATCTTCCTTTGGGTCGGGTACTGGAATCGATTATGCAGAAAATTGATGCCCAGCAAGCACAGATCGGTGAAGTACGGTCTCAAGTGGGGGAATCAAATCAAATTTTGGTTTCTCAGATACATGAGATGAGGTCGATGACTGGAGAATTAAATCAGATGATGTACACTCAAATGGATAAGATGAATCAAAGGCTTGAAACCAGTATATCGACTAATCAAAATCGACATGATCAAGCAGAAGCATCTCATATTAATGAGTCCATATTTCAGCGTATGACGGCACCATTAATACATATTTCCCAAGGGCCTCGAACAAGCATCGTATCGCCAAGTGCAGGACTTGGTATTACTATCGGCAGTGTGCCGAATCATACACTCGGCATGCCAATAGGGAATCCACCAATCTTATCAGATCCGCCGGCAGTAAATACTGTACCGGTGTACCAGCCACTAATGAATGATCAGCATAATCAGAATATGCAGCGTCCACATGTGCAGTTGATTCCACCAGTGAAAGATCAGCAAGAAATGGTAGGCAACCTAAGCCAAGGTAGAGCTAATCCATTGATACCTCCAGCGGCTGTTGGGGGCAAGTGAATGCCGATCATCAAAG